ACTTAGCATTCTCTCATAAATTTATAAATAAAGGAACTTGGGTACTATTATAGTTTGTTTTTGAGACCGGGACACGTGTCGTTAAAAATGTCAATACCGTCAATTAATGCACATATTTTGTTATATTCACTACAAATCTTTGATAAAGGGGAATATCTAAGGAGGTTTGTTGTACTTGCGGGAAGATGGAATATTTTAGTGATAGGATGCCGTGGGCAGTGGTATGGTACGCTAAAGTTGATTTTCTGAACTAATTTTTTTTTTTTTGTCCTACCTATGCTGATAGCCTTAAGAGGCTATTTCAGCTTCGCCCTAACGTTTGTAGGTGAGCTCGCGGGGCTCAACCGGAGAGTTGCTAACACTGACCCTAGCAAGAGCAGTGCTTCGCAGAATCTACCACCGGATCGGAAACGCGACCCACTGAGAAGATCCGGCGAGAAACTCAGTGGGCTGTGTCTATGAGTTAGTTCGCTCGTCGAGCCCTTCGTCGCAAGCGATTGGTTCGACGAGGACGGTGACCGGTGCTTGTGGTGCCTAAAACCACCGTTAATGGATCAGGAGGATCCGTAATGACGTGCCTTGGGCGACGTCGACGGTTCACCATTCGGTCTACTGGGTCGGGTATGTAATTTCCAGCGGCTACGATGAGAGGGTTCTCATGTCGTGCCGCCTTCTCAAAATGGCGCATTCTGAACTAAGTAGCTCTATCTATGCTTCCGGAAATTAGTTTTTTAGGAACATGATATTAATTAATTTATTCTACGACGGTTGCAGAGCGATCATTTTAAAAATATTTAAGACGTAGATCATATGTGGTACGGTAAGATATGCTAGAAGAATGGAATGCCCAGTGTGTAGTGAATGCACGCTGTACGCTTTCAATACGCTGCGAGTAAGTAGCGTAATGGGGACCCCAAACTACTGATGCAAACTCAAGTTGACTGCGAAACAGCAAGTTATATAATATTATTTTGGTGGTTGAGGACATAAATCGTTTAGTATTTCTTTTTAGGAATTACAGCATTCTGGCAGCTTTAATAACAATTGCATCAATATGTGCTTTGAATGTTAATTTGTTATCCGTCATCACGCCCAAATCTCGAATTTCATTGACTTGCTGCAGAATGTCACCATTCAATACATAACAGGATGTCATATGGATTAGTTTTTTAGAAATTTTTATGTAATAGGACTTTTTTGTATTTATTGTCATCCCATTTAAATTACACCATACATTTATTCTATCTAAATCACATTGTATAAGTTCTGAGTCTGTTGGTAAAGTAACTGTTCTGTATATTTTTAAATCGTCAACAAAAAGACAAAATTGACTGTCGCGTATTTCTGAAGTTATATCATTAATAAAGGCCGAAAACAACACAGAACCAAGATGGGAGCTTTGTGGTACGCCTGAAATGGCTATGTAGTCCTGTGATTTATGACCATTCACCACTACAAACTGGAGTCTTTTTGCAAGATACAAACGAAACCATTCCAACAACGACCCACCAATCCCAAAGCCTCGTAATTTATTAATTAAACGAGAATGACATACCTTATCGAAGGCACTGGAAAAGTCCATATAAATTGGATCTACTTCCAGACCTCTATCAATTTCCCGGCAGAGGTAAGACGTAAATGAGACTAAATTAGTTGCCTTTTCTAAACCCGTGTTGATGTTCAGAAATAAAGTTGTTCAGATGCTGTGTAATAAAAGGACAGACAAGTGACTCGAGGAGCTTTGGAATGCATGAAAGTATAGAAATTGGTCTGTAGTTACTAACATTGCTTGTGGCGCCTTTCTTAAACACAGGGACTACTTTAGAGCTCTTCCAGATGTCTAGAAATACACCATCGTTCAAAGATCTGTTAAAGATAATTGACATAGGTAAAGCCAAATCGGAGCCGCAACGTCTAACTAAAACCGGGGGATATCATCTGGTCCAGCACCTTTATACATGTCTAGCTTTTTAATTGCACGTAGGATGTCACGTTCTGATATGTTAATACGACTTAAAGGAGTTGTATTAAAAGAAAAGTCTACATAACCAGCTAGGGAATCTCTGTTAAATACTGACGAAAAGCAACTTGCGAACATCTGTCCGATTTGCGGTCCGGTAGATGCGATCTGGTTTCCCTGATACATAATTGCTTACCAGCAATTATCTACCAGAGACCACTGTACCCAGTGGTCTCACCATTTTGTCTATCTTTGATGAAGCACCAAAAGCTTTTAGGATTCCTACAAATATCAACTTCAATTCTCTTCTTATGTAGATGAAGACATTGCTCGCTCAATTTGTGAACACGCTCTCGAATGAGCTCAAAGTCTAATTGATCGTGCGGATTTTTATATTTCTTAAATCGATACCTGTTCCATGGGGAGTGCTCTGAGGAATTGTTCGAGATGATACCAGCGTCTCGTTTTTACCATCGCACCGCCCGCCACCGGAGTAGAGTTCATCCATACTACCTGGAGCCACTGCGGTCATCCACAGTGCGTTTCCAGAGATCTTTTTTGCCACGTACCATCCGGCTATGGAATGAGCTCCCCTCCACGGTGTTTCCNATTTAATTCATTTAAGTAACACTGGAGTCATACCCAAAGAATATTATAGTTATTATAAGAATTTGAAATATAGCAGGAACACATTTGAAGAAGACTGACGATTCAGACTAAATACAATATTACAGTTATCCTACAGTCTGTACTTACCTGAATCTGTTATGTAAACTGCTTTAGTTTAATTTTTAAGACGTCCCTTTTTAAAACTCCCCTTATTCAGTACTAGCGACCCGCCCTCGCTTCGCTTCGGAAACATTAAAACACACATGAAACCAAAAAAAAATTCCATTTTTCAAATCGGTCCAGTAGTTTCGGAGCCTATTCGAAACAAACAAACAAACAAATCTTTCCTCTTTATAATATTATTAGTATATTAGTATTAGTATAAATTTAATTTTTTTATGATTATTTATAGAAGAAATTATAAGAAATGTTTATTTTAATAAGAATACTAAATCATTATTAGTATTACTCTAAGAAATTCGAATGTTATTGGATTTTAAGTTAATTTAAAGCTTTTATTTTGTTTAGTTTTTACTTTGTAGAATTAAGTATGTTCATATGTTATTCAAAGAAGTTTGCTATTTCTATATTTTATTTTTAAATAACTGAAGAATAAAAGTGTGTTTCATTTGATATCATTATATTAAACGTAAATCTGTGATTGCAATATTAGTTATGAATTTTATTGATTTCATTTTATAAATTAAAATGAAATCAATTAAAACCTTAGTAAACTAAACTTGCCTTTGTTTTAATTAAAATCGTTTTACATGCCAAGTATCGAAACGTATAAAATACTTTGACGTACTGTATCGAAAGTGACACTTCCGATAATTTCTTAATTTAAATGTACAACGTAAAATATCGAAAGAGTCACATTCGATAATTTTGATAAAACAGTTCCCAAGTAAATAATCGAAACGGGCCGTTTCGATTGTTCACGCTAATTGATTAACGTAGTAAAGTATCGAAACTAACATTTCTCAAAAACTATGAAGAATTTGGGATAAAATGACATATACATTTAATTGCCAGTAAAAGTTTACCATATATCTGAAATTATTTGCAGATAGGCCAATAAATGACAATTTGGTACACAAAATTAACTTCAAAGTGCTCTCCTGTAAAGTACCGTTTTTCAATTTCGATATTATACGTAGGGACAGTCGATATATTCAATTAATTATTATCTACGAGTACTATCTTTATCAGTTTATGAAGCTATACAAATATCGGCGTATGTGTCCGACAGGGTCCGGTATTCATAGCCTTCCAGCCTTGACCGAGTGAGTGATAAAGACAAAAAAACAGACCTGAACATGATTGTGGTTTTCTACAAATTATAATAATGATTAATAAACTGTTTCTTTTCGTCTCCGCTTGACATTACAGTTTTTTAGTTTACTGTTCAATTCATACTGTTAAAGTAATTTCTTCCATCAATTAAAACAGATAAAATCAATATTCGGTTCAAGTTTTTAAAAATCATTACTTAAATATTTTGAGTACGTCTAGGGAAAATCTATTTGTCTTAACAAATACGCGTAATAGCGCCACGTGCTCACGAGTGACGTCCGCTGTAAATTAATACATCCTCTAACAATATCAAATATGCATAATTTATAAGTTTATGTTGCTGGTAAATAATTGTGAGCCACAGAGACAAGTTTGAGACTCGGCGGACACGACCATGTTTTATATTTATAGCCCGTGTAGTCAGAAGAGCATGCGGCCCACCTGATGGTGAGTGGTGAGTAGACGTCAGCAACGCCAGGAGCAGAGCCGAGTCTCTATCTACGGGTAAGTACTCTCACAAACCTCGTTTGAAAAAGGACATATCTCAATACATGTCTCCATAAAGTGTTCTTAGTTCATATTTAGTAGACGACTACTTTAATCAGTTTTGTATGCCCCTCCACCCCAAAGGATATTTTAGTTTTAATTTACTGGTGGTAGGGCGTAATGTAACCCCGCACGGGAAAGTTCCCCCGTCATGCCCGTTTTTATCGCGAGCAATCATGCACTCCGGTTGAACTATGGCACATCCGTTGTACAGTTAGACGTTGATCTCATATCTCAAGATGGGTGTGGCAGCGTTCACGTTCTGATGACTATGGGATCTAGTGCTTACATCAGAATTTTTTTATTTTTACTAAAAGGACCTCTCTAATTTTCTTAAAAAAAAATCCATACTAGTAATCATTACCTATTAAAACAGAAAATATGTTTTGCGCAATTTAAACTTTTTAATCGGTTCATTCAGAAACAGCGCTACCTATTCAGTGCTCCACGTTCACGCCTAAGAACCAGTCTACTCTGAGATATTCTATGTCACGAGTCGCCATGACGACGGGCGGCTACAGTCGAGCGTTGACCCGCCGCCCGCCCTACACGTATTTGTAAACATTTTGTAACAAACAAGCCCTGTCTATTTACATTTCTTATAAAAACGATTTATAAATACATTGTTTTCGGATAAGACAGCTCGTCAGTGATTTAAGCAAGTGTTGATGCTGTGATGTGTTTGAAAAACTGTATTTGTCAACATTTTGATGGGATGCATGTTTTGCTAAACAGTGGCAGCAAGTTGGATTTTCGACAGAGGTAAGGGAGTCTGGTACTTGTTTTATCAATAAATTGTTTTGCCGTCGTACCCTGCTGGTTCGGTTCTTTTAGAATTATGATACAAAACTTCAACAAATAAGCATGAAACCAGCTTTGATTTGCACCAAGCAACTGATATTTTATTAGTAGTAGTACAGTTACGGTTAGTAGTTAGTAGTTAGTAGTTAAATGTTGGTAGGTAACTAATAAAGGAATTACTATATCATGTCGCTCTTCGCTGTATTTACATTCTGTCGCTTGGAGCGAACGATAGTGCTTCACTAGCCCTCTCTATTGTATTTTTTTTATTGCTTAGATGGATGGACGAGCTCACAGCCCACCTGGTGTTAATTGGTTACTGGAGCCCATAGACATCTACAACGTAAATGCGCCACCCATCTCGAGATATAAGTTCTAAGATATCAGTATAGTTACAACGGCTACCCCACCCTTCGAACCGAAACGCATTACTGCTTCACGGCGGAAATAGGCGGGGTGGTGGTACCTACCCGTGCGGACTCCCAAGAGGTCCTACCACCAGTGATTACGCAAATTATAATTTTTGCGGGTTTGATTTTTATTAAACGATGTTATTCCTTGACCGTGGAAGTCAATTGTGAACATTTGTTGAGTACGTATTTCATTAGGAAAATTGGTACCCGCCTGCGGGATTCGAACACCGGTGCATCGCTACATACGAATGCACCGGACGTCTTATCCTTTAGGCCACAACGACTTACTTACTTTACGACTTAGTGTATAGAACTTATGGGTCTTGCACAGTGTAATGGAAAAGAAAGGACAACGATACAAGGCCTGTTCACTTCTTAAAAGATCTCATCAGCAGACCTGCTGAAAGATGATTAGTATAAACAGATCCCCGTCCCCAGGGCTTAAACGTAGCTCGCCGAAAGGCGAGTCCCCTGAATGGGGTTTGACCTCTCTGCGCTCTACTATTCAGCAGTGATTTGCAGGGGGGGGAGTGCCTATGTCGTGAAAACGACAATCAGCAGGAATTGGGATGGAGCCTGGGAACGTGGGACCCCACTTGGTTGTGAGATGCCACAACAAGCAGACAGATCGTATTGGGTTTTTTTTGTCTCGAAAAAGACAGTTTACGGAGTTTTCGTGACTTTTTCGAGACTGTGCTTTTACGAATCAAGGTCGCGACGCCAGCGACAATGCTCCGAAGATACAAAACAAGGTCACGACGACAGCGACAAGTTTTTTCAAAAACACATCCGGACTTGTTGGTGTTGCGAGTGGAATGGACGCGTACACAGAGCGAGCTCTCCTTCAGCTAGAGCAACAGACTGTACATCTGCGCATATCATAAACAGATCTATCTATTCCTCATCGACAAACCAGTCGTCAAGCCTTTCAAAATAATTTCCAAACGCTGGCATTGATAATCAGAATGTCATTCCCAAAAATATTAGGTGCCCGACAATCATTCAGCTGCCAAATTAATCACGACGATAAATCAAACGGACTATTCAGATACCTTTAATCTTATATTGTAATGGCATCGTTCCAAATATACATTAAAGAAACCAATGCGAAACAAGCAAATACTTATAATTATTAATAACAGAAAGTTCAACGGTAACAATTTATGGACGATGTTAACACTTTTTATTTCAAGGAAATTCGTTCTGTGCCTTTGCAAAACAAATCTAATTCCATTCTATGCAGCATCGTCTTGTAGTCAAGTCTACAAAAGCTACAAGTGAATTCTAATTATTCGTTATGAATTGATCTATCAAATCTCATAGTAATCGGCGAGCGATAACTCGCCCAGCCCCGCGTTATCAGCTGTTGTCGTGTGAGAAAACTAAAACTACACATTGAAATAAATGTAGACGGTTCTCGATCTATATATTGCACACCTACATTTAAACGTTTCTCCGTTTTTGAAGTGAAACTCCTTTAAAATCGTTGTGATGTGATTTCAAACTCGATGAAACGAAAAAATTAAACTTGAAATTAAAATATCAATTCACAGAGGGCGCTACCTCATACTATAAAAGATGATTTACAATTATTTCTATTTAGTTTGTTATCAACAGATGTCGCTGCACGTAAATTTAACGATTCCTGAATCGCGATGATGAGATGCTACACAGTTGATAGCCGCTCTCGTATTTCTTTTGTAGTACCATTCTAAGCCTGGCGTAGCCACTTCGATAAAGCGGCACGACACGAGAACCCTCTCATCGTGGCNTGTTTTATTCTTTTACTTGTCAACTCGACTTAATGTCATTCTCTCTCCATAAAATAAAATGTTCATTGTTTTACTTTAATTATCGTTTATTTTAAAATTCACAACAGTTACTAGTATAGGCTTTGCTTTTTACCCCGAAATATCCTAAATCCTGGTTTTTTTTAAATTGTCTTTATCATCCAAAATATCAGCTATTTTTCCCTGAAAAAGGGAGAATTCCCTAAAAGTGGAAGCACTGCTTCAAAGTACGCTAACCTTTTTTATTGAGTCAGAACTCGTATCTGCCATCTAGTGAGTTTATTAGTTCATTAAGGCCAAAACGTTTCAAAAATGACCTCGCCGGTTCCTAAAGATGACGCTAGTTGAATGTTCTTTTCCTTTGTATGGGAGTTGCACCCCCCTGGTCGACCCTTGCGATTATTCTTAGTTGTTATAAGTTTCACACATACACACACACATTTTTTTCGTTTCACTGTCGAAAAACTATTGATGAGAAAATGACAAAATATTTGCTACTTATCGGTTTAATTAATCGTTTTTACATTATTTATCTAAAAAGATCTTGTCGAAACGATTCACAAGACTTCAATAAACCTTGGAGGACGGTAGGAACCATAATCATAGATTATACACTTAATATATTCGACCATAATGTTTAAGGAAATTTATGATTATGGTTTCAAGGTTGAGGGTAGGTCAACTATTCTTACAGTAGAATTACTTTGAATTCGTAACTTGATATATGATGTTACGATGGGGACATACTTTGAGGTGGGCTCTCTTCACTAAGCACACGCGGTGAAAACTTTTATTTTTCCGTGAAAATAAAACCTGCACAAGATTGAGGAAGGTTTAACGAAACAAAATAAGGAACCATGTTAATCTTTAATTCATTGGCGCTCATTAGTGGATCGACTTCAGTAGCGTCGCGAGTGCCTTTATCGTGTAGTCTTATCGTGGTCAAATATTAAAACAAAAAAAAAACGACAAGGAATAATAATCTCAACAATTTTATTTTGGACAACGAGTGTGAACTCGCAGAAGTAGGTACAGCATTGCGTAGTTGGAATTGTAGTTTTTGAAGATACTTTTACTCACGGTGAGTTGATTTACATCAAGTGCTTTTGACTTTAAAACCAAAATCAATCTTAGTGATCACAGTGGGCTCTTCTCAATCAAGTTATAGGTTCTTATATAATATGTGGGTATATTCATCTGTTACCTGATGCATCATAAGCTACCTTTAGTTTATAATAAAATAAAGTATTCGTATTTATAGTATTTGAGATTGGCGTTTTTACTTGAGGTTTGTTCGGAAAAGAGATTTTTGCCTTGATTGACATTTAAGAACTCCGCGGGCGCCTTATAGTTATTTGATGCGTAAATTCTTTTGTATTATGTTGAATGGAGATTGGCATAAACGTAGTTGGATTCTCGATAAAAAATTGTTTTATCTTTCGTTTATTTTTAATACATACATTGTTATCTTTAAAACATGTGGTAATTGAAATAGATAAGTTATGTACTTTAATACAAATGTACTTAAGAATTAATGTTGCGTGCTAACATTACACATAGCTTAGGACTTATCTCACTTGTGGCCCGGCAGTGTCAGGTGGATGTCTCTGTCCCGTCGCAGCGCCACACGGAGGCAGGTGCCAATGAAATATTCGACAATCTAACAGGTAATATGAATACTATTATTTAATAAGATTTTATGATCGCAGCCAACAAGCAAACAAGTTCACCGTCTTCTTGATCGTCCACTTAAAACCAAAGACATATGAGTACACCTTTGAGTAGACAATAAATAATTAATAACCTTAATAAATCACGTGCACATTATAATAAATGTCACAGCAATACAATAGGCCAATGACCTATTATCATTTACAGTTTTCTATTTCTTGATAACAAAATTGTAATTGTATCTGCACGTTACTTTTTATTTGATAGCTTAGCTATAGTTTATTAGTTAGCTAATTAGCTACTCGATAAACAGGCTTCCTTTTATTACCGACTAGCGACCCGCCCTCGCTTCGCTTCGGAAACATTAAAAAAACATGAAACCAAAAAAAAAAAAAAAAAATTAAAAAAAGTAGCCTATGTTCATCAGGGACAATGTCGGCTTCTAATGGAAAAAGAATTTTTCAAATCGGTCCAGTAGTTTCGGAGCCTATTCGAAACAAACAAACAAACAAATCTTTCCTCTTTATAATATTATAGTATAGAAAACAGGCAAGTAGACTACCGGATTGTAGAATTGTTGTAAGATCACCTTTTTGTTCACCTTGACATTTGCAATGTCTCAATTCTATGGTTTTACTGATTCAACACGATACACCAGGGGTAGGCAACGCGGCGCCCCCGGTCGATTTTTATTGCGCCCGCGCTGGACTAATTAATTTGTATGATAACCAAAGCGATTTACTTACTCTTGTCAAACGGCGATATACAGCAAGTAGTCAGTTGATTTTAGGATTGTGCATAAATTAGCAGTTTGCTAACGTTGAGCGTATCTAATAACACGCACGTATTTTTTGTTAGTGTGTGATCGTATTTCGAATAGACCACGCGTACACCGTGCATTAAAATCTGCCAAGTAATCCGAAATAATTATTTTCTTTCAATACCGAACAAAGCTTAATGACTCACATTTAGATAATTGTTTAAGGACAGGGAACTCTAAATATATCCCCAATTATAAGAAATTAGCTGAAAATATAGACACCCAAGTTTCACACTGAATTATATCATTATGTATGACACCGACAAAATAAATCTGTTTTTTAATGCTTATTTATACCTCTTGATTATTTGTAAAGTATGCGCCCTCGGTGATTTTTAAACTTAGTATTGCGCCCTTAAGGACAAACAGGTTGCCGACCCCAGCAGTAGGTCGCAGCTGCGTACGTGATACGGAAACGAACATACGTCTTGTAAATTTCTGCCGTGAAGCAGTAATGCGTTTTGGTTTGAAGGGTGGGGTAGCCGTTGTAACTATACTGAGACCTTAGAACTTATATCTCAAGGTGAGTGGTGCATTTACATTGTAGATGTCTATGAGCTCCAGTAACCACTTAACACCAGGTGGGCTGTGAGCTCGTCCACCCACATGAGCAATAAAAAAAATAAAAAAAAGAGGCCGAGCCTAGTCCTGATCGGCAACCCGGAGGCCAACACCGTCGGTGAAGGGACACGGAAGTCCCCGAAAGGAGAATCTTCGCCGCCAATTCCGCTTCCAGCTTCTGGGACAACGAGTTATCGCCCAGAGCTTCCAGAGTATGCTCAAGCCCCTCTTCCGACGAATAATCGCCTTCAGATGTGCCGGGAGTATACCCCTGGGCCCGCCGCTGGGCACAAGAGTTGTCACCTGGTCGATCGCTCCCCTGATGGAGTCGACAAGGCGGACTGCCGCGTTGTCGACCCCATCAGGGGTGTTGGGGTCCTGAATCACGGGAAGGTCGACTAGGCGTCTCTTGAAGAGCTCCCAGTTGACCTTCGGTCGTAGCGGCGAAGTCGCAACCCGGGTAAGCCCCATTCCCAGTGTGATCAGAACAGGGAGATGGGGGGTACCCAGGTCGTACAGTGCCTCGATCGTTACGGGGCACCGTGGCCCCTTATGAACACACACGTCCAGCACATCGGGCTGTGATCGCGCGGCGGACGGAACGTGCGTGGGTTCATCAGGGCCGATCACGGAGTAGGCGCCCCTATCGGCATCTTCTAACAGCCGCCTGCCCACTGTTTTGTTAAGTCGGGAGCCCCACGCGACGCGCTTTGCGTTGTGGTCCCCGACCAGCAGAGCTGGGCGGCTCTCGTAATTCATGACCCGTCCTGTCACACTCTCTTCGACAGGAAACTGTTAAGGAATAAAAGATGTCGATCACTTATCTGGTCCCGGATCCTTCATCTCACTGTTCGAAGCGTTTCCACTTCGACACAGCAACTCCAGATGAAACACGCGCGCTCTGGGCACTCACAATTGCACAGCACAGCACAATAGGGGCCTCGTAGCATTGGTGTCCCGGGCATCTGGCGCATGGCGTCGCAGCACGTTCACTCAAACACCACAAATAATAACAACCCGAACAGGCGCATGCTATTATCGAATTTGGGCCAAGGTAACTGAAACCAGGTAGCGGAATAGAAATGTTTGTATTTAGAGGCGGCATCGCGGCACTCTGATATTACCTAGTACCTAATTATATGTTACCCAGTTTATTGGTGAAAATAAGTGAGGTACATCTTTTTAAATTATTGTTCAATCTTTTTAACAAGGCTATTATTTATTTAAGTACCCACACAACGGTTTTTCCATCTCGGCATATGAAGGTCCATGTCGAAAAATGGGATCAAAATCTTAATTGAACTGTGTAAAATGTTAAGCATCTCTTAAGCTAAAACAGCTCATACCTTGGCATTTTTAATTTTTCTGTGAATACCTCAGAGAATCTTTTCTACATAATAAAAAAAACATAATTAAATTAAAATTCCCATTTTCTGAGTTCTTGATTAATATAGGTACAAAACAAGCTAGTTTTACTTATGAACTTGCAAATTCACTATTCGAAGGAACTCAAATATCAGCATACTAACAAAAAATACTGTTACAATACTATTATAGTATATTAGTTTCACACTCTAAAATACTAGTTCCATTGTTTATTTACCCGGCCCATCGCGATGCGTACAGATGTCTACAACGTAATTCCGATATTCTTAATTTTAGTACCTGTTGATATCTCTCGTGTGTAACGTGTTCGTCATATGTGTAGTATTATGATTTATTATGTTTGCACCTATCCGTCAGCAATAAACACTTGAATCGCGCTTATTAGGCATTTCATAAAATGTAATTGTTTTAATAAGTTACAGTTCTGTACATGACCATGCGGCCCCACCTGTCTCCAAGGAAAGGGCGTGCTCGGAGGGAGATCTACTTTTTGTAGCGTCCCCAAAAACCAGACCATTGCACGTGAGTGTACTTGTCTACATTAAACATATACTTGTAATGTGTGAGTGTGTGTGGGTGTGTATCGTTTAATTCAAAAACGAATTTGTATAAAAACTAATTTGTATTTTACTGGTGGTAGGACCTCTTGTGAGTCCACGCGGGTAGGTACCACCACCCTGCCTATTTCTGCCGTGAAGCAGTAATCCGTTTCGTTTTGAAGGGTGGGGCAGCCGTTGTAACTATACTGAGATCTTAGAATTAATATCTCAAGGTGGGTGGCGCATTTACGCTGTAGATGTCTATGGGCTCCAGTAACCGCTTAACACTAGGTGGGCTGTGAGCTCGTCCACCATCTAAGCAATAAAAAAAAAATCCGTGATCGTTAAAAAAAGTTGGAGATTGATTCAAAAGCTTAATTTTTTATGAATTTCATATTAGATAAGCAAGTTTACGGATCACCTGGCATCAAGACCGGAGCTCATATATATCACAACTTAAGCGTTGCCACCCGCCTTGATACGTGAGGTCGATATACCAAATGCATTACATAACGGCTATCCCGCCCTTCAAACGGCAGAGACAGGCAGGACGGAGGTACCTATCTGTGCGTGCTCACAACACGCCCACGAACAGTAAAGGATAAATTTACTTAAGTAGTGTTTGGTGTAGATACCGATAAGCTCACTGACCATCTGATGAACAGCGGTTTCTGGAGATCAGAAATATTGTGATTTGGGAATGCTTAACGACGGAGGGAAGATCTTCCACCGAGCGGGTGATATTTACTCGGTAGACCGACGGCCCGAATGTTGTTGTTCGGAACTTATATATATGCGCCTTATCTTGAAAATGTCGTAAGCGAGATTCAGGCATCTGTCAATTATCTTGCGTTGTATGATGGCTACCCGCCACAGTGACATATCTTGAAAGCCACCAGAACCTTTAAAATGGGAAGGTGTGATAACTTTGCGACAGAAATAACATAATTATAATTCTGCGGTTTGATTTGACACAACATTGCACACAATATGACTATTTATATTATATAGTAAATAAATAAATAAATAATGTTTATAGGAGATCTGGTGGTAGGACATCTTGTGAGTCCGCACGGGTAGGTACCACCACTCCGTTTATTTGTACCGTGAAGCAGGAATACATTTCGGTTTGAAGGGTGGGGCAACCGTTGTAACTATACTGAAACCTTAAAACTTATATCTCAAGGTGGATGGCGCATTTACGTTGTAGATGTCTATGGACTCCAGTAACCACTTAACACCAGGTGGGCTGTGAGCTCGTTTACCCATCTAAGCAATAAAAAAAAGATATCTTTATTTATTAAAAATATTTTCTAATTCAGTCATTTGTTTATCGAGTAAAGTTTTGGTTTGGCTGGGTTTTGGTTATGATTTTTTCAGTACATTGGTATCTTTTTCATCAACATGGACGCGATAAAAACACGAGCTCTGTCACGATAGTAATGTGAATTTATCTGTAAGATGTCAAATTTTATGGTCAAACTACGTAACTGAGGTCTCGTGAGTGCGCAGGGCTCGGGCGGTCCACGTTGGGCTATTCCTGAGCATAGTTCGCGAGCATGTACTGTGTTACGGGCGCAATCTACATTAAGTTGAAGCGCTATGACACGTTCACACACAGCCGGACAACACACAGGCTTGACTGTTGTTCTTTAAGTGCGACTGTCCATGAGCTCATGAGCAGCGGTACCGTCCCCACAGAGCACTCGTGAGCTCCTTTTCTTCCACGCTCATAATAATATTCCAAGCTGTTCACGACGCTACCTTAAACGAAACAATAAATATTCATTAATATTTTATCTAGATTTCTACATCTAATCAAAGATCTAGACAGTGACCATAATAGAACTAAGTGTGAAGTATATTGACGCATACATATTGTCATGTTTGGTTTGACATCCTGTCGATTGTCACTCGTGATGGACGCGTGTATTTAATAACATAGGTATATAGAATTATATTTGATATGATATGAGGCTACAGGGACCACAACGAGACGTCTATTCCTGCTGCGTAGTAATTGCTTGTAAGCCTGAAGCCTTTTTTTCCTACCTATTCTAGTAAACTCGAAGGGTTATGCTAAATTCTCGAAGGGAGTAGGTGAGCTCATAGGACTCTAACCTGATGAGGTTGCTAGCACTAGCAGATTCTACCAACGGATCGGAACCATGACCCACTGGGACAGCCGTAATGTAATATCTACTATCAACACTATGTCTCACAGTGGGTGGCGGCATTCATATTGTTAATATATTTTTATTTTTTAGCTCACAGCCCACCTTGTGTTAAGTGGTTACTGGAGCCCATAGACATCCACAACGTAAATGCGCCACCCACCTTGAGATATAAGTTCTAAGGTCTCAAATATAGTTACAACGGCTGCCCCACCCTTAAAACCGAAACGCATTACTACTTCAAGGCAGAAATAGGCAGGGTGGTGGTGCGCACCCGCGCGGACTCACAAGGGGTCCTACCACCAGTAAAATATGGATCCATCTACAGAAAAAAAACTAGGTTTAAAAAAATTTTGCTTTTTTTTGTAAAATATCTTTGTAGACGGACAAGCGTTTGGCCCACCTGATGGCTTATCGATTTGTCACAGTTTTGAAACGGCTACAAATAGTTTGCAAGTCGATTTCATGACACTTAGTTCAAAAAGTTCATAAATAATAAAATTGATAATTTATTGTGGTTTACTTTCCTGCTTTGTATTTCATTAGGAAAACCCAGAAATATAGTATTGAAATTGTGTTACATGTAGTATAATATATTATAATAATTAAATATTCAAATACAGTACAACAAATGAGTTACAATGTAAAATTGTGTCGAGGAAGTTAGTCGTTATTCTTAGAATTGATTTCTGTGCTAAATATAAATTCAAGATGAAGGTAAATGGGATTCGAAGACGTAATAATATTAAAACAAAACATTGTTACATAACTAACTAATAAGACATTTGTAGCGTGCGCAACTGACGCTTGAGACAGAGGGACTTCGCCTCTCTCTGTATTTTGTACCGTATGTTTCATGGGGAGTACTCCGAGAAATCGTTTGAAATTATTTCATCATCTCGTAACTTTTACCAGCGCACCAGCCGCCACCAGAGCAGAGCTCATCCATACTAGCTAGAACCACTGCGTACAATCACAGTGCGTTTTCAGATATATTTTTTACCGGGTCTGGAATGAACGTCTCTCCTGGATGTTACCGATATTACTTAGTCTGGCCATAAATACTGTTACAATTAAAAATAAATAAAAATTCTATTGCAAATACATTTATTACTTTTACACTGTGTGTTAGTTTAATACAAAAATATAAAACAATTTAAAGTATCAAAAGCTTATTCGAAGTGGTCTCCATTGACTGCAATACAGTCCTGTAAACGTTGAGGCCAGTTATCAATAGAAGCACGCACTCTTTCCATGGGAAAAATTTTCACTGCCAATCGTATGGATTGTTTTAGGGACTCCAAATTATCATGTCGTTTAGAACAAGCCCTCTCTAAAACTGACCATAAATCATAATCCAGTGGATTAAGATCGGGACTAGGCGATGGCCGGTCTTCAGCTCTGATGAAGTCCGAAACGTTCGTTTCCAACCAAGACTGCGTAGACCGAGCTTTATGACCTGACGCCGAGTCTTGCTGGAAGGACCATTCTTGATTATTGAACATGGTGTTGTTAAGGGGCTTCACTACCTTCTCAAGAATGGTATCTTGATATACTTGTGCCGATGTTTTGATACCTTTTTCAGAAAAGTATGGCTCAGTCATCCCTTCATAGCTAATACCCCACCAAACCATCACTGAAGTCGGTTAGTGCCCACGTTGCACTCTGTCGACTAATTGGGAAGCTTCCTTAGAGCTTTGAGCATAAATACGGTCATTTTGTTTGTTAAAATGTTGCTCAATTGTAAACATTTTCTCATCCGTAAACAAATTTTTTCTATGAGCTCCCTTTGCGTACCGCTTCAGTAGTTGTTTCGATTTTACCACCCTATTCTCTTTTAAATTATCAGTTAAGAAATGACCAGTACGTCTCTTATAGGCTGCAAGTCCTAAGTCATCTTTTAAAATACGCGACATGGTTCTAGGTGCTATCTTCTTCTCCCGAGATAAAATCTTTTGCTTTCGGACAGGATTTCTTCGAATTCTTTCCCTTACTGCTTTGACCACATTTTTCGTACGAACACTACGTGGACGGCCAGATCTTTTTCTGTCACAAACAGAGGAGGTCTCATTGCACCTATTAATAGCGCGGTACACAAACATTTTACTAATACCAAGCGTATTTTTTTAGATCTTAGATGGGTGCTCGACGACGCCGACGACGACGAGCTCACAGCCCACCAGGAGTTAAGTGGTTACTGGAGCCCATAGACATCTAGAACGTAAATGCGCCACCCACCTTGAGATATAAATTCTAAGGTCTCAAGTATAGTTACAACGGCTGCCCCACCCTTCAAACCGAAACGCATTACTGCTTCATGGCAGAAATAGGCAGGGTGGTGGTACCTACCCACGCGGACACACAAGAGGTCCTACCACTAGTTGAAATCACTCAATGAGCAATCATATAAAAATGACAGATTCCAAATTCAAATGTAACATTTTGTTTATTTTTAATTGTAACAGTATTTATGGCCAGACTAAGTATATCTCAAGATCAGTTCCCGATACTTAAAAAACTTTTCTAAATTGTAAATATTGTAGATAAAGCTACACATACGTTAAAGATAAAGTGAATAAGAGGCTTCGATGGGTATTCTCAACAAATAGCACAAAACGGAAACCTTTTAAATTGTTCAGTTGGTAAATTCATCTGCCCGGGTATCATGGCTTTGTTTTTAGGAGACAGAGTACTAAACAGACTTCACCAAACGACTTTACAAAATGAGATATAGAATAAGATCCGATTTATCCCGATTACATATTAAACTATTACACTACAAATATGTGTATTGGGAATAAACCACAATCAATAAAGGAAAACGCGATTTCTATTAAATGGCATTAATTTTATACGTTAAAAATGTAGTTTCCGTATTATAGTATAAAGTCATGGGGTTTTAGACATTGAATTCCATTCGTGCAGTTGGTGTGGCCGGTGACAGGCGGAAGATGAAACTTGAAAATGGCAACAAATCCCGCGAACTGTGCGACAGACTGACGAGGGACTCACTTGCTACTGGATGGAAGGTGCTACCAGAAACAAGACTTGCAGCGCAAGCCTGGGTGGAGAATGAAATCCCTGGAGAAAGCAGACAACTGCTAGTTTCCTCGGAAAAACCCCTTCAAATTCACGGTGTAGTCAATCTCAGTGATCAAAGCTATACCGAGAAAAATCCAAAGAAGAGAACAAAGAAGCAGAAGAAGACAAATTTACAGAAGCGATTAGAGAGACTCGCGGTCTTATTGAAGCCTCCTTACTTTATAGTTACCATTATCTGTGTTATGGTGAGTTTAAGATAAAAAAAATTGTTCAATTACTTGCAAATTTCTAGTATTGTGAACTCACATTGGTTGATGGCACGATTTAACCTATTTCCGCGGAAATAAATAATATTTATAGATTATAATACCACAAGTGCGACTCTCATGGTATATTCTATAATTTTAAGGTATGCATCCACTTGTTGGTCTCAGAGGAAGTTCGAGACATGCTGGAGTGGACTCCAGAGAAGTGGCGGACAGAACCTTGGCGTCTCCTAACGTACGGCTGTATCCACGCCAATCACCTACATCTAGCACTAAATGCACTTGTAGCTTTAGCTGTAAGTATCGATCTTTTAAAAATAACAGTTGACTAACACTATTGCAAATCATAAAACAATGGAAAACTTTACGGGCTTAAAAAATATATTTACCAACAATTACGCCACGGTAACTGGTCCCGTGATAAGTTCGTAAAGAACTTGTGTTACAGGTACCAGATAACGGAAATAAATGTAAGATTTTTATTATACACATACATATATTTAATATACATCCATAACCCTGGAAAATACATTTATATTTATCATACAAATATCTTCCCTTGGCGGGATTCGAACCCGCGACCCCCTTGTGTAGTGACCATGTCANAGTTCGTAAAGAACTTGTGTTACAGGTACCAGATAACGGAAATAAATGTAAGATTTTTATTATACACATACATATATTTAATATACATCCATAACCCTGGAAAATACATTTATATTTATCATACAAATATCTTCCCTTGGCGGGATTCGAACCCGCGACCCCCTTGTGTAGTGACCATGTCACTTACCACTACACCAGACGGCCGTTATATGTGTCATATGTTTGAAATTTTACCTTAAGGTAGGTTGGCGCTTAGAAAGAGAACAAAGGTGGTGGCGCCTCGTGCTGTTGTGGTGCGGAGGAGTGATCGCCGGAGCCCTAGGCGCTGGAGTCCTGCAGCCCCATGTACCGGTGGTCGGGTCTTCGGCTGCAGTGTACGCACTTCTAACGGCTCATTTACCAAACGTTTGCTTGAGGTAAAATTATTGCTTTTGATTTCCGTACAAATTTTAAAGGAAATGACTTTACAGAAATTCTGTTATATCTATGTTTTGGTGTTAATCAATCAGGATATAATTATTATTATTATAATATCATATTCGGCTCAGGCAACGTGGCAACGCAAAGCCGCCGTCGTCCAAAGCATTTCTTGTTGGTTCCTCGGAATCCGTTCTCGGTGTTTTTAAGCTCTTCAAGCACCAAAACTGTTCGCCGAGCCCATAAAACCTAAAATAGCTACTGTTTATTTTACCAACGGATGATGGCCAAATATATTTGGTAGCTCGAGGAAGCCAAGGTCGCATGCACCTGTTTTATAATCAATGCTTGGACAAACTGCTTATTCGGATCAGACCTAAGAAGAAACACTAACATACCCGGACACAAAGCCTTGAATCTCGTATAGAATCCGGATCAGTTGTACAGAAATCAGCGTCTCCACGATCAAATCTAGGACCAACGAGACGATATATCTTTGATTTTATATACATTTTTATATATTTCTTATATGGTTGGACGAGCTCACAGCCCATCTTGTGTTAAGTGGTTACTGGAGCCCATAGACATCTACAACGCAAATGCGACACCCACCTTAAGATATAAGTTCTAAGATCTCAAGTATAGTTACAACGGCTGCCCCGCCTTTCAAACCGAAACGCATTACTGCTTCACGGCAGAAATAGGCAGGGCGGTGGTACTTAACCGCGCGGACTCACAAGAAGTTCTACCACCAGTAATTACGCAAATTATAATTTCGCGGGTTTCATTTTTTTACACGGTGTTATTCCTTCACGGTGAAAGCCAATCGTGAACATTTGTTGAGTACGTATTTCATTAGAAAAATTGGTACCCGCCTGCGGGATTCGAACACCGGTGCATCGCTCAACAAAAATGCACCAGATGTCAAACGTAATCTGTATCCGTGTATTATGAATTGTTTTTAATTCCAGATTTGGCCACATACCACTGTGGTGGTTCCGTCCATTGTCCGTGGTAGTGCTAAGCGCGTCTGAAGGTTACTGTGCGCTGCTCCCGTCGGTGCCGCCCCCCCAGAGTGCCGCCGCAGCTGCCCGCGCGCCCCCCTCCACTCACATCGCTTGGTCGGCGCACGTCTTGGGAGCTGCTGCAGGAATACCTCTTGCGTTCATCGTTTTCACTGGTTTGTATTCCTACACCACACTAACCATCTCTATCAATTAATAGAGGTCCGTTTGAATTGTGGGACATAATCTCTGGTACAATTGTACAGATTCTAAAAAGAACTGGTGGTAGGACTTCTTGTGAGTCCGCACGGGTAGGTACCACCACCCTGCCTATTTCTGCCGTGAAGCAGTAATGCGTTTTGGTTTGAAGGGTGGGGCAGCCGTTGTAACTATACTTGAGACCTTAGAACTTATATCTCAAGGTGGGTGGCGCATTTACATTGTAGATGTCTATGAGCTCCAGTAACCACTTAACACTCGGTGGGCTGTAAGCTCGTTCACCCATCTAAGCAATAAAAAAAATAACAGTTTTTGAAAACCATGCTATACCCGAGTAACAAAAGTTTTAATTAAATTTGTAGATAGATCTTGATTTCCGGTTTCAATTTCTATATTTATAAATAACTTCCGGCTTAAGCCGAGAGAACTTCAGACTTTGCTCAAGCTGCTTGAAGGCTCGTTCTGTAGACTTTCTGCAGCAAGCCGAAATTTTGACAGCCGTTAATTTTCACGGATGATTTGTGCTTATGGGACTGGCTGTAGGACTAAATAAACTGCTGGCAAAGAAGCATTTTAGTGAGACGCATAACGACCCTCGCGGGCACGTGCTGCTATGCCGATGTCTCTCTGTAAGGATGTAAAGCCAAGCAATAATAAGCTCACATGCGATATCCCGAACGCACTAAGAACATGACCATCAGTAAACGTGTAAATGAACTGTATTTTAGTATATTTTGATATTGCCATAAATAGGATAACTAGCCCGTGGTCTTGCCGTTAGGAAAGTAGTCACAATAATGGGAATTTGATGTCCTCACCCAGCAAGCGACACGTGTCGCATGCCTTTCAACTATTACAGAGATTATTTTTTATTCCTTATATGGGTTGACGATCTCACGCCTCACCTAATGCTACGTGATTCCCGGAGTCCTTACACACCAAAAACACAAATACCGCCTCGTACGTTAAGACATAAGTCCCAAGTCACAACGGCTACCCAACCCATCAATTAAAACGCATTACTGCTTCACGGTAAAAATAGGCAGGGTGGTGGTACCTACCCATGCAGGCTCACAAGAGGTCCTACCACCAGTAATTACGCAAATTAAAATTTTGCGGGTTTGATTTTTATTACACAATGTTATTCCTTCACCGTGGAAGTCAATCGTGGGATAGGTTATACTCTGATTACTAGGATTACTTTGAGTAGGTTTACTCATGATAACCTTTAATACAACTTATCTAACAGTTCAGTGTATTGCAGGTGAAAACGAAGGCAAACGCTATATCGTCATAGCTAGAATTGTATCAGCGTTGGTGCTACTTTTAGGAGTGATAATGTCCGCTATACATTTCGCACACGTGACTGAAAAGGACAAGTGATAAAGAGCTTCTTGCAGACAACTGAAACTGATGCAGAGGATCCATATTACTTACGAGTCATAGAGCCAGGTGGTCTAGTGAGGTACACTAGAGAGAATCTACAACATATACTGACATATCATCAGTGACGTCAGTGGTCACACACAGATGCACATGACAAATTAAAGGGGTATAGTGCTATCCATTCGCCATCATAATAATAAATTGCGCTGGCAATCATTTCAAAAATTATTTTGTATAAATTGCTAACTAGATAATTTTTCCAAGGAGGATACCCTCTTTGCAGGCCTACTGTGCAGAGTACTGTTGCTGACCAAGTCCATGAAAGCTATTAAATATTCTCCATATTATGATTTTGCGAACGATCAAAATGAATATAATGTTTTAGTCTTTTCCGTTTCTCGACATATTGTGATATTATGATTACAATTTTAAGTTTAATAAAGTTAAGTTACTAATGTGATTAAAATTACCAAAGATATTTAATTTTAATTAGTGTTCATTGAATATTCAATTTTATTTCATCAGATATTCTAGTCGTATATCAAATTGGTAACGCATTCAAATTNGAACGATCAAAATGAATATAATGTTTTAGTCTTTTCCGTTTCTCGACATATTGTGATATTATGATTACAATTTTAAGTTTAATAAAGTTAAGTTACTAATGTGATTAAAATTACCAAAGATATTTAATTTTAATTAGTGTTCATTGAATATTCAATTTTATTTCATCAGATATTCTAGTCGTATATCAAATTGGTAACGCATTCAAATTTGACCTTCAATCGCTTGAGCAAAGAGCTGCGTTTCCGAATTAATTTATTGCTTAATTATTATGTTAATACAATTGGGTATACTAAATATTCACCGTGTATCTGTGAAGTATTTGATCCGTCCATTTTTACATAGATATTAAACCATTTGTGGCTAAGTTGTTGTAATGTAATTTAAATTTAAACACAAAAGTGTTTGCCTACAGTACGAATGGCGATATTGATGATGTTTATCTAATTGTGTCAATTTGTTTAAAACAAAAAAATTTGAATATTTAGTTATAAGATTTTGTACAAATATTTGAACGATTAATTAACATTAAATGATGTTTTCAATGTAATGAACAACGTGTTCACGAGGCCTCACTATGTTGGTGTCATGGTGGTCTACTAGCTTCGTTGGCGGTGATAGAATTGTAATGTCATAAAGCTATTGACTTGAGATTGAGAGCTTTGAACATTAATTTCACTGTCAATAAAGTATGAGCGAATTATCAATTTTTATACACATATTGGCCTATACGGGTAGTAGTTACCAATTTTTGTACGAACTACGTGATAAGGAAATAACTAAATAGGTATTTAAGTATTGATTTCCGTGAAATCGAAGTGTTGTTATGAATTAAAACATTTACTTGTTATTTCAGTGGAATTTGAGGATGCTCGGAATCTTTTACATAATTTGATTGTAAATGACGTCAATTAATTGTTTTCATTTTGTTGAATTAAAATATGAAGTACCAAATTTAATCTTTTGTATTTATTTGTAATCTAAAGTTAGATTTGATTGTAAGTGTACGTATCAGCAACTGAGATCTGGCCTCGGAGCTGATACCGGCTTATAAGGTTTTTTTGTATGGGTTTGCCATTTAAAAGCTATAATTGCCTTTCTACTAATCTGGAACATGACGATGATAACTTTTATCTTATTTTGTTGGTACTCCTCTGTTTAATTAGGAGGATGTCGATCACGGGAAGTATCTTTAACGACAAACCCAAAAATAAAATTTCACTAAATTTGTATTTTTCTTAATTAACAAATAATTAACCTAATTTTTATGATATGAATAAATACTGTGATATTATTTATAAAGAGTCTTCTCTTAGCAGAATACAAAAATATATTGCGTATTTCACTCCGCTTAAAGAGTAGGTAGCGCGTGGAGTCTCCGGTCTCCAGGGAACACGGGCGCGTCCGCTGCTGGTTCCACTTCAAGCCGCCGATCTTCGAGATTTCAATTTATATAATCTATTCATAAGTTTTGTATCAAAATATATTAACTTAACGCACGTTGTTTTAAAGTTCTCGAAACCCATGTACATATATAGGTTGTAAAATATTTTCTCTTGTAGTAGAACATTGAAAACTGTGTTACTCAACATACACAAAAACAAAACGATATTCATTAACTAGACTAAGAATAAATAGTAATAGTCTGATCATATTTCGTGATCCCGTAATCCAACCTGAGAACACCTGCACAGCATCAATCGATTGATACTAAATCAGATATATTTTCCAAAAACGTAAAGAGTCGAACAATTTATTTTATTTTACAGAATATAATATTTTTCATTCGTTCTGAAGGCAGTCCCAAATATGGGCTAAGTGATATATTAGCCTCTGTCACTGTCAAAACCATTAGCAACTTCAGAGGTATAGTCTAGCCGATGCCTGCTGTAGGGAACTTTTTAAGAACTTGTTACTGTTGTTTCTAGTTTTAAGGACTCTTTCGCTCAGCAAATGCCATGAAGGGTCTCTGAATTATTCAGAGACCCCTTCATGGTATCCCCCAGCTCAGTCTTTTGTTGAAGTCAACATATACATAAATGGAATAGAAAAACAAACAACAGTACGTGCGACTCGACCCAGCTTATTTCTAATAGCGTTACCAGGTAAATTTATTAGCTGACGATTAATCATTTGGATTTATCTTTTCAATAATTAGTCTACCACCGGCCTTTGGTTTGGGACGAGTTTCTTTTAATTATGTTTCAACAAACGCTGTCCTATCCTTACTAATTAAGTATTGTTATTAAGGAGCCACATCACACTGACAGTCCGGTCACACAAGTTAATACCTCATTAAACTACCAAAATCTAAGACAGATGGCTAACAAGCTCGGTATGTATTCTCAGCTACGCATCACAACGGCTTGAATCGAAATTTGCTTCCAAGGCGCTCGTCCTTAGCCTTTTATGTCCATTACATTTAGAAGGCTGGATAGAAGGAAATATAAAGAACCTTTAACAATACCGACATAGACTTATCTTTTATAATTATATATAAAAATCCTTAAGTTTTGGTTATCCTATGAAATTTTACTTTAGTGTCATGATTTTCTGAGATCAATGACCGATTTATTACAATAGGAAGTTGTGGTACAACTTGAATTTAAAACTTGTTTCACAGCGAATGAGGTTACGTTTATAGTCTGATTATACAGAAAAAGTTTTTATAATCATAACTAGAACTCGTCAAAAACCTTTTCCAACGCTCTATACAATAAAATCAATATAAATTATCCGTATTCTAGCAACATATAATTATTAACACTACACTAAAATGAATCTGTTCAAGCACATCACAGTAGGCCGTATTGTTACAACCGATCCTTGTTTGATGTTTGAATTAGAAGCTGTTGAATTAGCTCAGTTAGCAGTTGAAATTCATAATACCCGTTTAACTAAAACATCTAACATCCTTTAGACTTGCACTGTACTCCATAATCAGCACACCAGCACTCTTGGCATTTTGTTGTTAGTTCAGGAACAAAATGTCCCACGCCATACATTTTTCCGTAAATATTACAGCCTGATATCTTCAAGATTCCTCCTCCCAAACCAAGATTTGGTGGTCTGGGTCCTTCGTGCGTCACCGAAGTATACTGTACCGATAGCTTGTCTTTCTCGGTGACGGCTGGTGATCTTGTGATTTCAGGTCTATTCGTTTTCAGCTCGGATCTTTGGGTGGTGTGTATAGCTGTAGCTTCTCCTAAGACTAAGTGGTCTATTCTGTTGACTGACGCTTTATATGGTGGAATGTAGGGACGAGGCGGTAAGGGAATGAATGGCTTCAAAGTGGGTCGATATGGTCTTGCAGTACTCGTGGTAGTACTGGTTTTCATGGTGGTTTTAGGTTTCGCTGTAGTGGATTCGATTTCACCACTTAATAGCAACTGAAGTAAACTTCCAAACGAGGAATCGTCTTCATCATCTTCATACTCGTTAGAATTGGTTTCATTGGGTTGTATCTTTTCAGTGACAAAAACTGGTGTTGTAATTATTTCTGCAGCAGTGACTGTCGGTGGTGGCAGTGTTGTAGTAAATATCCCATCAGTTCCATCCTTAACGGAATTAACTTCGACAGGTTTAATATTCTGTTCTGTTTTGAGTTCATATTGATTGTCAGTTTGAGATTGTGAATCATTTTTTTGTTTTATCGAGAACTTTTCTACCTTAACTCTTGTATCATCAACTATTTGATTTTCCGTTGTTATTGCGATAGGAGTTGTTGTAGATTCCACTGAAACTTAAAATACATTTTAATATTATTACACAACATAAAAAAAATTACTTTATCTATATTTAGTTTTCATTCATGGAAAAGTTACTGGCTTACAAACACAGGAATGGTTATACCTTTGTGGTAAATCGTAAATGTCATTGTTAGGCCACAAACAAAATTCTGCATACCGTTTAGTATGTACTCTCCTCACTAACTTACCCGAGTTACAGACTAAATCGCCACAGCACAAGTCTTTAGCTTCTGAAGTAATAGGTAGACGGTTACACCCACTGGGTACAGAGCAGTCCCGCGGAATGCATCTCAACTCTCTATCCTGACAGGCACAGTTTGAGCACCACACTGATATTTTATGACCATCTTTCACACGTCGACCGTCACTGGTTATACACTCTGAAATATGAACACATAAGTACATTATAATTTATATATATCTATTTATCTGAGTATATATCTATATAGATCATAAGTATATGAAGTAGTGATTTATGTATATCTCTCCACTACCGACGGTCTATCTTAGATATGTATCACTCGTTGTTTATTCGCTGTCTTTGCAAATTTAAGAATAAATCTTGTGCTGACTATTTTTAAATTCACGACTCGTGAAATATATTAACGAGCGCTCAGAGTTGTTAGTGCGTAATAAATGTATTCACTCAGATATAACGACATACGTGATGGGAGCATTTAAATAATTTTACTGTTAGAGAGTCGAGTACAGAATGCAAACAAAATAACAAGAGTCCACAGATACCACTGCCAATTTTGAAACATAAAGCCTCAGCTTCCCTAAGCTAGAACACATTAATGATTCGTGACCTGGTTTATTTACAATTTTACCTTTGGCAACATCTATTTGCATCGAGGTGGTCAAATGTGGAATGGACGGTCCCGGCGCTGGACTAGGATACACTGCGTAGTACTTATCTATTTCTTCAGGATCTTTGGGTACAAATCCCCCTATAAAATAAATTAAAATAGTTTGAGAGGAGAAAAAGAGACANATCGATGGCCGATGGAGCAGACGTGTTCTGGACTGGAGACCGCGTACCGGTAAGCGCAGCGTTGGGCGTCCCCCTGCCCGTTGGACCGATGACTTGCGGCGATATGCTGGGAGAGATTGGATGCGGAAGGCGGAGGATCGTTCATTGTGGCGGACTATGGGAGAGGCCTACATCCAGCAGTGGATAGATACAGGCTGATGATATATATATGATTATATAATAATAAATTTATGATGATGAAACTATTTTTGCTGTCTATAAAGCGGGGTATTATAAGCCCACACGGATTTTTTGTGAAGTTGTCATGCTTTCCGGTATCAAGGATTGGCATCGCTACTATAACTTACAATTGAGACTTAAACTTCGTGTCTCAAGATGGGAGACAATATTCACAATGTGATCTTTATGTAGGATGAGCCATATATCCCTTTAAATAAATAACTAAATAAATGTCATATTAGAAGTTTTCACATGTATTTTTTGGTAATTTTTATTATATTACCAATTTAACCGCTTTGAAGTAAGAGGAGATGCGTCCAATAAGACGTGTTCATTACACGATAACGGCTATATGCTGTATGTTCTGAAAGTCAATAACACCATAAGGCACCCTGACAACATTTCGATATATTTGACAGGCAAGTTCGATTTCCTGGGAGACAACGACTGCTGTACTCATAATAGTAGATCCTAAAAAATGACGCTCTCAATGTCATTATCAATAGTTTAAGAATGTTTCTTCATCATCATCATTATCCTGCCCTTCTCCCAGTCACCTGGGATCGGCGCAACATGTTTTTTCCTTCCATACTATTCTATCATATACCATTTCTTCGCTCACTCCCCTCTTACCCATATCGTCTTTCACGCAATCCATCCATTTCTTCTTCTGTCTACCTCTTCCTCTATATCCTTCCACATTCATAGCTAACATTCTCATACCAACCTCATTTTCATTTCGTCTCATCACATGTCCATACCATCCCAAACGCGCACTTCTCAGCTTCTCTGTCACAGGTGCCACTTTCAGACTTCCTCTAACATATTCATAGTTTAAGAATGTTTATTACTACAAATGAAATTTATTTCTACTCCTAAAGTAATAAACTATTTACGTTAGGTGGTCCTGCTCAGTTGAAATTACTTTAAAATATTAAACTTCTTTGTCATTAGTCAAGGCTGCGGGTGCAAGTTTTAAAGTTAAATCTGATGTCTTTAAGTTGGTGAAAATTACATTTTTTTTATTACTTAAATGGGTGGACGAGCTCACAGTCCACCTGGTGTTAAGTGGTTACTCGAGCCCATAGACATCTATAACGTAAATGCCGCCCCCACCTTGAGATATGACTTCTAAGGTCTCATTATAGTTACACCGGCTGCCCCACCCTTCAAACCAAAACGCATTACTGCTTCACGGCAGAAATAGGCGGGATGGTGTTACCTACCCGTGCGGACTCGCAAGAGGTCCTACCACCAGTAAATTATTGAATAATTCTATTACATCAGACAGGTTATATTAGAAACAGTTCGAGTAAATCAAATCGTGTTATATATTCACCTACGAATCGATTCTTACCTATTGAAAAATGTATCATTTGTATGTTTTTTTTCTCTTCTAAATATATATATTTGAACGTTAATTTCCCTTAAATAGAGAACTTTTTAAATGTATGGGCGAATTTAAGTTTATTAGATCTATCTAATGACCTTAAATAACTTAAAAAATGTAAACTAATAAACTTAAAAAAATCTAAATAAACTTAAAAAATGTATGGATTAATTTAAGTTTAGAAACAAAAACATGTGTGCAATTCACACGTGGTAGAAGTGAAACCTTCCAAAATTAAAATACAATTATCCTAAACGTCTTAAGTATATGTAAAATTTTGTCATTAGTAAATAATTGTAAGGTAGCGCCCTCTGTGAATTGATATTTTAATTTCACGTATAATCCTAAATTAAAATTCACTACAAGAGCTTTCATACACACGTTANATCGAGTTCCTGTCTTATTATTTCGCGAATACTTTCAGCAGAGACACAGGTGCAGCCGCTGTGCGGTCGCGTGCGTAAGGTAACGTTCTCGAACTCGAATCCCGGGGCGTCGCGCTGTGGTTGATGCTCCACTCCCGAGTCCTGCCTTTGGGTCGAGGTTCCGGTGCAGCGGACCGGTGTGTTTGTATTATCACCGGACTTCGGCTCCTCATTGTTTACAAACTCAGCACTTTGTCTTGCTTAGTCGTGCGCACATGGCTTATGTTGCAAGCCAGATTTTATTTCTTTTTACTTGTGTTTTATTTGTGTTTGTTTTGAAGTTTCACTTCAAAAAAATAATGAAACAATTTCAGCTGTTCGCTACCGTGTTAATGTTTATTTTCAGCATAGCATAGCAGACGACATCTGACGCTTTTGGGCTGTTTGGTGTCTGGCCTAGAATAGTATGACGATCTGCCTGTGTATGAGTGTTATAAAAGGCGATTGCCTATTTCTGCCGTGAAGCAGTAATACCTTTCGATTTGAAGGGTGGGGCAGCCGTTGTAATTATACTGAGATCTTAGAACTTATATCTCAAGGTGGGTGGCGCATTTACGTTGTAGATGTCTATGGGCTCCAGTAACCACTTAACACCAGGTGGGCTGTGAGCTCCACCCATCTAAGCAATAAAATAAAAAAAAGATTAAGGGATTCACCAGAAAATAGGTAACAGTAACATTGTTGCTGCATCCTCCCTATTTCTGCCTCAAAGTAGTCATGCGTTTTTTTTAAAGATGGGGCCGCAAGAACCCGCTTTACAATACAATTGAGACCTCGATCTTATTACTCTAGGTTGGCTGTCGGTATTCACCTTATATCTACGGACTCCGGTATCTACATATCAATAGCTGGGCTCGTCTATCGGACTGCGTAATAGGAAACGCTGTAGTTGTATTTAAATTTTTCCAGTTTTACCGAGCCAAACGATGAATATAAACTTTGAAAAGCGTACAAAATAAATTTTAGATAAAGAAATATTTTTTTAGGTTTTATTTTGGTTTTCTAATATGTTTTAATGTTTTACTTTTCAAGGTTCAGCTCTAATATACATTAAAATGTTTAATAATATCACAATACTTGTTTATTGCGTGTGTTACACGTAACTGAAAACAAAATATTCGCGGTCACGATGGCGGTTAAGCTGCGTGCGATCGCTTCCTTCCGTCATCTCATTTCATATTTATCGTCATGAGTCACTTCAAGTGCTAAGTGAACTTTCCATCCTCTGAGAACGTATACACGTGAGAGCGACTGGACTATGTCTTTTTCGGCGGGCGCCGCATTTCCTCTATCATGCTGCAGAGGATTTAGCATGAGTTTTAAGACCAGCCACCTGCCTGGTGGTTGTATCTTCATATCGTCGCTGTCAAACCAAAATCTGCTATGTGCAAAAACTCTATTTTGAATTAACGAATAAAAACCATATTTCGTATAAAATTTTATATGAAGATGAATTTTTAAGAACTATATCAAATGAAAGCTATAGATAAATATTAAAGCTATAGACACAATAGTTTTTTTTACGGTAGATAGGGCTGTGAACTATACGAAAAGGTCGTATATGTATTAAACATCTCAAAAAGTGCTCGTAGCAGATTTTGGTTTGACAACAACGATGTATCCATTACAACATATCAACGATATCATAGGTAGGAACTTTTATGTTTTTTCTTTTCTGTGTTTTCCTTTTACTTCATACGTTTTTGGTTCTATCATTTATATTTTATTATTATAAACATTTACATTAACATTTAGATTTTCAAACACAAAAAGATATAAATAACAAATTTTATTCGTTTTTCCGAATTTTCATCATAATATCGAAAGGCCGCTGAACTAAATGTAGGCATATAATTCATATTGTATCTACACTATTTTATTTATTTACATTAAATAAAACTAAGTATTACTTATCCGTGCATCAAATTTCATAATTTACTTTGTATTTTTATGAGTTTTCAGTTTTTAGTTATGCCAAGAGAAATCGGCTGTCAAACAAAGGATACACGGCCACGCTTTGATAACAGCTGAGTGTATATAATTACCCAATTTCATTATGATTGAGGCTCAAATTAAAAACATAAGCACACGCTTGAAAATTATAAGTGCTGTTTTTGACAGGGCGGTATCAACTTTGATAAACATTGCTCGTTTATTCACAGTACGCGCGTACCGAGTGACTATGCCCACGCCCGACAGACTCGCTATCTAGTTACTGTGAAAAGTTTTATAGTTAAAGTTTTAAACTCGTTCCGTTGTGGTTTCATTATTCTAATTCTTCAGAATTTGTCATCTGTTACAGAATGTTTTTTCTTTTTTTTTTTTTTTTATATAATCACGGAAGTTAAGTAATTCAGTTGAATATCTTAACTTCCTTTGTTGAAGTATTCAGAAAAAGTTTACTAAGTAAATTATTTTGTTTCATATTTAAGGTAAACATTAAATAATAATTGGGTTTTATTGATATTATTTAATAATTTATTAGTATTATATAATAATAAATTTATGATGATTAAACTATTTTTACTGTCTATAAAGCGGGGTATTATAAGCCCACACCTGGGGTCGGCGCAACATGTTTTCTCCTTCCATACTCTTCTATCATATACCATTTCTTCGCTCACTCTCCTTTTACGGTAAGAGGGGAGTTACCCATATCATCTTTCACGCAATCCATCCATTTCTTCTTAGGTCTACTTCTTCCTCTATATCCTTCCACATTCATAGTTAACATTCTCTTACCAACCTCATTTTTATTTCGTCTCATCACATGTCCATACCATCCCAAACGCGCACTTCTCAGCTTCTCAGTCACAGGTGCCACTTTCAGACTTCCTCTAACATTCATAGTTTAAGAATCTTTATTACTACAAATTAAATTTATTTCTACTCCTAAAGTAATAAACTATTTACTTTAAAATA